ATCACTTATGAATAGCAGCTTGTATTATGAATTACAAGCCAACAGTGAGGCTGATGTCCCCAAAATAAATAGATGACACACATTAATTAATCGCACATTTATTTTTTTTTTCAAAAATATAAAGCAATCAAACTATACACTATGTTTCGTCACTCTTTATCAGATAGAATCAAGATTATCTTGTCCCAAAGCATTGACCAATGAAATTGATTAGCTCTGCTTAGCTTCAGCTCGAAATGTTAATCATTGAGCTCAGTCAAGACATTCACCTAAATGAACATAGACATCAAGCCAAAACATTCTACCTCAATTAAAAGCAGAGTTGTTATGTTCCAAAGTCTTGGCCCTCATTAGCCTAAGCAGAAAATTCTCACCTTCGAAATTAGTCAAGGTAATGATATAATTAATCTATATTCGTAGTTCCATCGCTCTCACTTCATTATAACCAAAGTTATCGTGCCTCAAAGCATCAACCAATCAGATTGCTTATTTCTGCTTACCGTAAGCAGAAAAACTTCATCATAAAACTCCACCAAGGCATTCACTTAATGAAAGCCTACACCAAGTTTAAACATTCTACCTCAATTAGAAGGAGTTATTGTGTTCCAAAGTCTCGACCAATCAAATTGCTTATCGCTCTGCTTACCCTCAGCAGAAAATATTCATAATTGAACTTAGTCAAGGTATTAATGTAATAAAGCTATACTTCAAGTGTCCTCACTCTAACTTAATTAAAGTTATTGTGACTCATGTATATCAAGCAATCAAATTGCTAATCTCTGCTTACCCTAAGCCGAAAATTCTCATCTTCGAACTCCATCAAGGCATTCATCTAATAGACACCTATGCCAAGTGTGAACATTCTAACTCAATTAGAATGAGAGTTATTGTGTTCCAAAGTCTTGACCAATCAAATTGCTTACCCTGAGCCTGAACAGAAAATGCTCATTATCAAACTTAGTCAAGGTATTGATGTAATAAAACAATACACCAAGTTTCATCATTCTCATTTAATTAGAACTAAAGTTATCGTGTCCAAAAGCATCAATCAATCAAATTGCTTATCGCTGCTTACCCTAAGCAGAAAATGCTCAAGGCATTGACCTAATAAACACCTACACCAAGTTTGAACATTGTAGCTCAATTAGAAAGAGAGTTATTGGGTCCCAAAAAGTGTGATGGACAGACAGACGGACGAACCCATTTTAATAGTCCCGTGCTTTCTTCGAAAGGCAGGGGACAATAATATCAAATCTTTATTATTGTATGGACACCCACTAAGCATAATCAAGGCTTAAAAAAAAGTTTTTTATTTTTATATAATAAGCAGCAAAACAAACGCCAGGTTGGTATGCTACTCTGAATAGACGCATTGCATAAAACTTGCCAAATGTTTTTATTGTATATTTGTGACCACATCTCCAACTTTACCTGAGCAATAAGGCTCCTTCCCAAACACAGAATTGAACCCAGACAATGTTCTCAAAAACGCAACCTGACTTCTGAGATGGTAATGTGTTCTCCATGATTTTCATGCTGCACGTGCTGTTCACCGGCACCACCCCTATAAAATGCACCCCCATACCTGGTTGAATCATTCACACTATAACAGCATGCCACGACTCACGACAGCTCAGAGAAACCTAGCGCTTGGAAGACTCGCCGCTGGCCACACTGCCCAAGCCGTTGCCAATCACTTCCAGGTCAATGTTCGGACCATCTACAGGCTTCAGCAACGCCATGGATAATCGTCCCCGAACTGGTAGACCAAGGGTTACCACAAGACGACAGAGTCCCTTCACACAGGCATCTGAGACAGTACGTCAGACAGTGGGGACACACAGAAGACCCATCAGTATTGATACAGTGCGCCGACGTCTCATCAGAGAGAACACCCGTTGTCCTAGACCTTACCGTGGACTGATCTTCACCCCTTGCCATCGACGTGAACGTCTACAGTTTGCCCAAGAACACCAGAACTGGCGACACAAGCAATGGAGAACTGTTCTGTTAACAGATGAGAGTCGGTATTGCGTATCAACTGCAGATGACAGGACCAGAATATGGTGTCGACATGACCAGCATTATTCTGACCAATGCGTCATGGAACGAGACTCGTGGGAAGGTCCAAGCATAATGGTTTGGGGTGGAATCGGCCTGCACCAGAGAGTGGGTCCTGTGGTGTTCCAAAATCTTGGTCCAGGGAGAGGAGGCAGTATCACAGCAGTACGCTACATCGATCAAGCTCTCAGACCCCACGTCATACCACATTTCGCACGTCATCGAAACAATGTTTTCCAGCATGACAACGCTCGTGCCCACACCACCAGGATTACTCGGGACTTTCTACAGCATTATGCACTGGCCACCAGGATTACTCGGGGCTTTCTACAGCAGAACGGTGTCAACATTATGCACTGGCCAGCCCTTAGTCCGGACTTAAACCCGATTGAACATCTTTGGTATAAAATTCAGAGGAGTCTTAATAACGTCGTACTGAGACCAAACACAGCCGATGGATTGCGCATCGAAACAATGTTTTCCAGCATGGCAACGCTCGTGCCCACACCACCAGGATTACTCGGGACTTTCTACAGCAGAACGGTGTCAACATTATGCACTGGCCACCAGAATTACTCGGGACTTTCTACAGCAGAAGGTATCAACATTATGCAAGGGCCAGCCCTTAGTCCGGACATAAATCCGATTGAACATCTTTGGTATGAAATTCGGAGGAGTCTTAATAATGTCGTACTGAGACCAAACAGAGCCGATGGATTGCGCAAGGCTTTTCTGAGAGTGTGGTTCCAGGTGCCAATGGCATCCATCCATCGTCTGGTCCACTCCACTGGCGGTGGACACACCAGATACTGATGTATGGACTGTGTAAAGACTCTAAAGCTTCTCATAATGTCTTGGAATTGTGAAGAATTAATCACTAATGTGTCAACATACTGTTCACAAAAAATTGCTTTGATCCATTTAGTAAGTCGTTTTCTACAATGGTTTGATTAAAGTGCCTCTCTGATTTTGAAATCGCACTGATGTTTTTGGGTTTTTTTTTGCTGTTTAGTATAGAATAGTAGAGATTGTTAATCTGTATAAATATTATGTTTCATAATTACCTTTGTTTATATACTGAGCACCATGGAAAACGCATCACTTAGTTTTTCGTATAACAAAATGACCCTGTAAACATATCTTATTTATTTTGCTTCTTATTGTGAACAATATTCAAATGGGAACACATCAATAACAACACATTTGTATACTTATGGATGTTTAATCTGTAATCAAGAGTAAAAAGTAAGAGGGGTCAAAACCAAAAGTACGACACACATGTCAGTAGCGCGTGTGTCCTCCACGGGCCTTTACGCACGCTGTGCAGCGATGTCGCATGGAATTAACCAATGTTTGAAAGAAGGCCTGGGGCAAATTGTTCCATTCTTGGACAAGAGCAGCTTCTAAAGCAGCAATGGTGTGCATCTGTGGTCTCCGATACAGACGGCGTCCAATCTCATCCCAGACATGTTCCATCGGTGCCATGTCCCGAGACATGGCTGGCCAGTCCAAGACATTGATGTTGTTAGCAGCCAGGTAGTCCATACTAAAACGGACGGTATGCGGACGTGCATTATCCTGTTGGAAGTGCTGAAGTTGTGGGTGCGCTCGAAACATCGGAACAACAATTGGTTGCAAGACATCATCACGGTAGGCTACAGCATTAACGCGACCCCTGCTAATGTGTAGGGCGGTCCGGTGATGAAATGTGAAGCCTCCCCACACTTACACTTCCCCCACCACATCGATTCGTTTCGAAGACGCAGCAGTCTGCAAGACGTTCCCCAAGACATCTCCACACACGTTGACGGCCATCAGCGTGATAAAGATGAAAGCGACTCTCATCACTGAAGAGCACACTTTGCCAGTCTACTCTTCTCCATGTCTGGTGTCCTTGAGCCCATATCAAACGCCGCTGACGGTGATGATCCCTGAGGATAGCTCCAACATAAGGTCGTCGTGCACGGAGTCCTACTTCTCTTAGACGACGTCTTACGGTGTTGGCACTTACTGGTCCTTGTGTTCCGAAGACTGCTGCACCTGTTCGAGTCGCTAGGCGGAATCTGTCACGCAGATGAGTGACCCGGATGTAGCGGTCTTGAGTCTGGGTTGTAATGCGTTGTGGACCAGGACGTTGACGGTCACGTGTTGATCCAGTAACTCGAACACGTTCCACCAACCTTACAATAGTGGACGGATGACAATTGAAGTGTCTGACAATAGCACGTGTAGACATCCCAGCCCTGGACATTCCCATGGCTTCATTCCGTTGATTTTCAGTAAGTCTCGGCATCTCTAGCTCGATTCCTTCACACGTCCAACAACAAATAACGACAGATTGACGTTTCACAGTTCATGTACTGCACATTACGTTGAAAAAATGCTTTTAATAAAGGGCTCACACACAATGCTGCACGTGAATATTGGGGTTTTCATGTGCATCTCGTGCAATCTTCTTTTTTTTTGCACACGGGCCGATATTTTTTGCGTTTGGGAGCATTGTGTGAAACAATAGTTCATATTATTGCATAATATTATACATACAAAACCACCTAGTAATAAAATATTTGGGAAAAAAAGTGATGCGTTTTACATGGCGCTCAGTATATGTGTGACGTCACTTCTGCCCGACGGATCTAGCGAGGCATGCGAGATAAGAGTGAGATTTTGTGGTTGTATAGATGTCAACCAGAAAATAAAGTACGTTAGAAATACAAGTCATGGTTAATTATCAATTTTAACGACCACATTTCCACGTGGGCGTATAAAAAAAAAATTCCTGTATTTTTGCCCGTGGGTAGAAAAAGTGGACAAAACATATGTATGCATGCATTTATTTTTCATACAAGAAACTATAAACTTGTTTTTGACCAAGCTAATGATAAGACATATTGAAATGACAAACATTACATTTACAAACAAAGTAGAATTACAAATACCTGACTAATCTCAGTAGCTAAAATTGGATCTTCGATAAGATTTGGCTCTTTCATTAACTGTGTTAAATAACTTCTAGAAACTGAAAACAAGGAATCCACAAGGTTTTTTTCAAAGTGCTCAAGGGAAAAAACTCTCTTAGTAATTATTGGAAATTGTTGAAAATCAAAATGTACCTCATCTACCAACCTTCAGAATCTACTTCACATAAAATCCTCACAAAGAGAAACCCATTCTTCAAACAAAATTTAACTAGAAGTTTCGAGATTAAACTATGTGAAATGTGGAGACAGAAGCTTTTCTGTTGCTGCTCCTAAACTGAGGAACAGGCTACCATCATATATTAAGGATGCCAAATCACTGTGTACATTCAAATTGTAGTGATGGTTCGATAATCAGTTTCAACATCGGTAATTGGCCGATGAGTGGCATATCGGGAGAAATCGGTATCGGCCCTATCGGGAGAAATCGGTATCAGCCGATACCCGGCCATTTCGCTGATATCTGTTCAAAACGACTCGGTAAATACCTTTAAAATATTATCCGAGTTGTGAACAAATCATTATTTTGCTTGACACAGTGTGCATCTAAATAATCACGCGCACTGCAGCCAAAATAAAAGTTTTATTTCTGTTGCCGGGCTTGTTGCTATTTAGACGTACCGGTAATACACGACATTCTTCGCGGTCGTAAAAAGGAAAGAACAAGAACAGTGAGGCTGATATCCCCCGCCGAAATCACAAAATAAATAGATCACACTTCGCACATTTCTTTTTCAAAAGTATCAAACTGATTATAAACTATACACTAAGTTACATCACTCTCTATCAGATAGAATCAAAGTTATTTTGTCTTTAAAGCTCGAAATATTAATTATTGAACCCAGTCAAGACATTCACCCAATGAACATCTACATCAAGTTTAAACATTCTACCTCAATTAAGTTCCAAAGTCTTGACCAATCAAATTGCTTAACTCTCCTTAGCCTAAGCAGAAAATTCTCATCATCGAAATTAGTCAAGGTAATAATATGATAAAACTATACACCAAGTGTCCTCACTCTCACTTAATTAGAACTAAAGTTATTTTGTCCGAGGGCATCAACCAATCAAATTGCTTATCTCTGCTTACCAAAAGCAAACAATTCTCATCTTCGAACTCCATCAAGGCATTCATCTAATAAACACCTACGCCAATTAGAATAAGAGTAATTGTGTTCCAAAGTCTTGACCAATCAAATTGCTTATTGCTCTGCTTACTCTCAGAAGAAAATGCTCATTATCGAACTTAGGCAAGGTATTGAGGTAATAAAACTATACACCAAATTTCATTACTCTCACTTAATTACAACTAAAGTTATTGTGTCCCAAAGCATCAACCAATCAAATTGCCCATCTGTGCTTACCCAATGAAGAAAATGCTCATCTAAACACTAAGTTTGAACATTCTAGCTCAATTAGAAGGAGAGTTATTGTGTCCCAAAAAGTGTGACGGACAAACAGAAAGACAGACAGAGAGACGGACGAACCCATTTTAATAGCCCCCTGCTTTCTTTGAAAGGCGGGGGACAATAAACAGTACCAAATCCTTACCGGTCTCCTTTATCTAAATTGCCACGCGCACGGCAAACGAAATAAAAGTTTTATATTTTTGTTGCCGTGCGCGTGGCTATTTAGGGGTACTGGTAACATAAGACTGACATAATAGGGGCCGTAAAAAAAAAAGAATAAATGGTACAAAATCCTTCATGATTTTAAATTTGGATTCACACCCTAGACCACCGTTAGGACTCTAAGTAACAGAAAGGAAATAAGAGTAGTTTTCGAGATAAAAGCGTCTGAATAGGCTCCAAAAAGGAAAATACTAGATTTTCAGGGTCACATATATTGCCTAACCAGCGAATTTTTACCATTGATATGTCATAAGATCGTCCATTGTTCGGGCTATCCAATGACATTTTATTTGTTTTGATTCGGTGAAATCTGGCGTAGTAATGACTTTTTTCGCAAGATCACCATTTTTTTTACTTTTTCCGTTTTTTTGTTCAAAATATCGGATATAATTTCGACTACTGCCGGTTTTTGGATCATTGTCGGGATAGTTTTCACAAGTTGTTTGGTTACCTTACCTTCTGTACAAGAAGTTTCAGAATAATCCATTCAGCTGTTTTCCAAAGAAAGAAAATTAGAAGAACATTTTCAGTAATCTAAGGATTTTTCAACTTTTTTCTAAGATTGAGGCTCTTTTTGGACAACTTATGTTATTTCAATGCTTTTTGTTTTGGATTCACGTCATAGACCACCGATAGGACTCTGCGTAAAATATAGGTGTCGTTTTCGAGAGAAAAGGTGTCTCAAAATGCTCCAAAACGGAAAATAATTTATTTTCGGCGTACCATAATTTATTTTCTAACCCTCGAAATCGTAGAATTCAGATGTCATATAATAGTCCATTAATCACGCTATCTAACGACACTTCCATTCTTTGGGTCCGATAACATCTGACGGAGATGTCAATTCTTTCGCCGATTTTTTAACCTTTTTAAATTTTTCCATGTGGTCGTATAAAAATGCAAAATGTCAAAATATCGAAAATAAAATTTCAATAACTCAATACATATTATACATCGTTAGAATCGTAATTAGCTCAGCTACCTGAATGTGTAACCTTTTTGTATAAATCTGTTTATATAAGAAAGTAATAGAGCATTTTACAAAATTTCACGATTTTTCGACTTTTTTTTCGATTTTCAGTCCCTTTTCTATCCTTTTCCAGACATTTCAAAGTCTTATTGGGTGGCTTCATGTACAAGACTATGGAATGGACTCTCGATAGAGAAAGTTAAAAAAAAAAACGGTTTAAATCAGAAAATACTTCATTTTCAGCTTGCGATATTTTGCTGCCTGGTTATAGTATCCGTATGAATTGGATATCATACGACAGTCCAATCGTCGTGCCACCCAACGATACATTAATTTCTTTAATCCGTTGAAACTGGACGGAGAAACCGCGTTTTCCCCAAAGCACCCATTTTTTGCGGGTTTTTTTTTCCAAAATATCGGACATTATTTCGACTACTTCCGGTTTACGGATCGTTGTTGAAATTGCTTTATCCAACGATCTGACAATATGACTTTACGATCCAGGAGTTTCAGAAACATCGATTGAGGCTTTCAAAAAAATATAAGGGTTGGAAAATGGGCAGAAAATTCGAAAAATAAAGGACGATAACTCTGAATGAAACTTATATTACTGGGATCGGATTGACTTCAGGTATTTAAATATGTAGGTCAAACTTGACAATTTGGAAAAATAACAAAAATGGTCTCTTAAGCAATTTTTTAAAAAATTTTGGACATAAAATGAAAGCGACGAAGTTTCGAAATTTTCAACTGCTATCTTGCAGGACAAGTCACAAGGTTTTCGAAAATGTCATTGGTTTTAAAATTGGTGAAGAATTGAGGAAACTATGGCCGATTTTTTATTTTGGACATTTCGGCCACTTCCTGCCTCATTCCTGAAAGCCGGTTCAGTTCTGCTTGCAGGTCTAGTTATTATTATTAGGCTTTCAGACTTAGTCTGAAAGACTATTGTTTTTTTTAAAAAAATATTATTATTAGGCTTTCAGACTTTCGTCTAAAAACCTATTGAGATTACTAAAATTATTATTATTAGGCTTTCAGACTTTCGTCTGAAAGACTATTGTTTTTACTAAAATTATTATTATTTTTAGGCTTTCAGACTTTGAAAGACTATTGTTTTTACTAATATTATTATTAGGCTTTCAGACTTTTGTTTTTACTAAAATTATTATTATTTATTAGGCTTTCAGACTTTCGTCTTTCAGACTATTTCAGACTTTCGTCTAAAAGACTATTGTTTTTACTAAAATTATTATTATTTATTAGGATTTCAGACTTTTGTCTGAAAGACTATTGTTTTTACTAAAATTATTATTATTAGGCTTTCAGACTTTCGTCTGAAAGCCTATTGAGATTACTAAAATTATTATTAAGCTTTCATATTTCATATGAAAGCTTATTGTTTCTGTTAAGATTAATATGATTATTATTCTTTTTTTGTGTGTTTTGTCCACAAATCGGATTTCTCAGAATCTAACCATAGGATCTTTCTGAAACTTTTACCTATCCCCCAAAAAATGGATGGTTGCTGTTGATTAAATATATTTTCAAAACGTTTTACGAATCCGAAATCACCGAATTTTACGAACGAATGCATTTGACCTACAATGCTGTAACTTTGTGACTATTTGACCTATTTTACTAAATCTTTTTTCTTTCTGTATCTTGAAATATTTACTTCATATCCGCTATTTCCGATTTTCGAATTCCAAAAATAACGTCATTGACATTTCGTCCCGGAAGTAAAACAGAAATGTCAACTTGGTACGATTTTCATGAAATTTGGAATGTATGTAGATCTCATTGACCCAACTTCAACAATACCATTAAAAATGCCCTAACTTATCTCCCCTTGGAGAAATGAAGGATAAAACTTTTTCCCAAAAATCGACTGAATATAGGTCAGATTGCCTTGAAAAAATTTTCCTGTACTAGCTACGACACTTCTGATTCGTTCACAAAAAATGGAGTTTCTAGCCCATTCCGGAAGTGCCACCATCTTGAAATGTGAAGTGTCGCTAAGGCTTTTTTGATATTTTACTTACAGACAAGGGAATTATATTTTCCGAATCCTTGAAGGAAAGCTCATAAATTGTAGAAAATAGAATTTTGATTTCTGGCAAATGATGGACGCCATTTTGAATTGAAAATGAAAAAAAGTGAAAAATCCACATTCTTAAAGAATGTGTCTCATATTACCGAAATTAATACATTTTAGGATAGCCTGGCTCATGGTCAAATGTTTGGTATTTGAATTTTTCAAAAATTCGAATTTCGCCTTTTATGTTTTCCGTGCCGACAAGGTTGTTTTCGAGTGTAGACCCGCGCATGCGCGTCACAAACCTACTATCGTGCACACCAACTTGAAACTCACCGATCTTTCTGAAACCCCTGCAGTATAAAGCCATATGGCCAGACCGTTGGATAAAGCAATTTCAAC